GGCTGGGTGAGGGTGCAGGCTTCTTTGCCTTCTCCCCAGCTCCCCAGCATAGTGTAGTCTGCTCGAGGCAGCACAGTCTGTTCTCGTTCACCTTGACCTGTCTTGTTTCTAGTCTGGTCCTTCTGCCTTCACCCAGGCCATGCTCTGGGCAAGCTTAGCAGGTGAATCCCGACGGCAGCAGAGATTTCCTTATGGTAACAAAAGAGGTGGTGGCCTCTCTCTGCTTGACACTTCACCTCTTCACTGGGAGTGCATTACTCTGCATGACATAAGCTACCTGAAAGTCCAAAGTGTTGAACATGTGGGTCCTTAGAGCATTGGGAGCCTGGAGCCTGGGTGCGCTGTGAAGCAAGAGCTCACCCTTGCCACACACCTCCACTGGGTGCCGGCAGCGACTGCCGAGAGCTGGCCCTGCGAGGTGACTTGAAGCATGTGGGCAGTAGACGTTTGAGGCAGGACTGAGACCTGGCACGCTTGCTCTGCTTTACTGATGAGGCATGTTCTCATCCTTGTGCTGTTGGGCTCAGGGTCATATGTGATAGGGGAGCTCCATTCACAAGACTTCTCTTCCGGGGCAGATGTTCCCTCCTCTGCTCAGCCCACCGCAGTGTGAATTTCTGTCTTTCATCTTGGGCCAGGTATTTCCATCATAGCTTATGGATCAGCTGCTGCACAGCATCTTACTTGCCAGGACAGTGGGCTAAACATCGACTAGTCTGTGACTCAGCTCTGCTTTGCACAAAACTGGCACTGGATGGAACTGGTATGTCTTCATGGATTTGTGTACACATTTATTTATTTCCGGGGCAGGCACAAAATCTAATAGTAAGGGATAGATTAGTCATAGCTTGATGGCATCATAACGCGTGGTACGAGCACTTTACTGCCTTTCCGTCCCAGGTCTGTAGTGTAAGCAGAACCTGGGGCTGCTGGTCAGCTGGAGACAGGCTTTAAGAGGTTCCCTGATGAACAGTTGAAGGGACAGTCTTTGGCTGGATCGATGGATCATGGGGTCCTGGCTATCATAGGCTTGGTGACTGCGCAGCTGAAAAGTAGCAGTGGGGGAGAGCTGCTGCTCACCCCCGAAGAGCCATGGTGCTGAGCCAAGCCCAAGGCCTGCCTTTTCCCTGAGTTACTGCAGGAGCCATGGCACTGGTCTCCTTGCAGTCTCTGTACTGCCCATCCAGTGGGGAAGGCAAGCCTCAGATCTCCTGGCTCACAGGACAGTTTCAGGAGCTGCTGTCCTTATGTTTTCCTGCATCACATTCATCTGGCCATCAGCAAGTGGGCTGAACATAAAGGTTGACAAGTCCGGAGATGTTGGAAAAGTCAGTGGCTGATGTGTATGGCTGGAAGCAATAATAGATTTCTGCTTCTTCTGTATTAGGGACCTCTGCCCCTGTGCTTGTGGTGGAAAGCAGTGGCCCGAGCCCAGGGGTAGCATATGAATGAGATCACTTGTGTGTAGGTCTCCACAAGGGTGGAAGCACTACTAAGATGATTGGGTGCACCTAAGACATAATTATCTGTGTTATTTCTGCTTAAGGGTAAGTCCTGGCACAATGTTGAAGATGATCATGTGGGTCTGTAGCAATTTTGGAGTGATAGCCTTTCTGTACAGGCTGGTGTTTCCAGGGCTGCCTTATTGCTGCTCTGGCTTGGCCCTGGACATCTGTGACTTGGAATTGACAGTTCTGAAGCCAAAGCCATGGGTACAAAATGTGAGAGGAGGAAACCTGAACGCTACTTCCCAGAAACACGTATAGACACTTCTGTCCAGTTACCAGAAAGGTAATTTATTTGAGCCTGTCTCTCTCGGTACCATCACATCTGGTGCCTCCATTTAGACAACAGGCCAAGCATACATAGACTGTGGGGGGACGAGGGGTGGAAAGGGCTGATACCATCTCCTTCCACATGGGTGAGAAAAGCTACCTGAACCTGCACACCTTGCATGTCTCATCTCAGGAAGAGGAGTGTCAAGACACCTGCCTTGATGGGCATGGCCAGGCAGCTACACAGCAGGTACATCCTACTCAAAACATCAAGAAGCAGCCAGATGGTGTATCCTGAGTGCAAGGATGGGGAGGTGTGCTCTGTCTGAGGTGGCTCAAATTACCTCAAATGACCCCTTCCTATTGTCCAAGAAAAAATGCTTAGCCTATGTGGATAACCTGAACTCTAGAGGTGCTGTGGTTGTTGTGAGCAAGGGGTACAGCTTCACAGCCAAATCTTGAATAGAGTAAGCTCTTCACAAGGCTTTCCTGGCTAACTCTACGTTTCCATGTTCCTACCTAAAACAGAACCACGTACCTACCCCTTCTTGCTAGAGATGTTTGCTTTGCCTGAGACAGCCTGCAAAGTTCTCTGGGTAGCTGGGGAGATCAGCAGCACAGAGGTATGGAAGGCAATGCACTTGAGTTACATGGTGGTAGTAGCCATTTTCACAAAGCAAATAGGACAGACTGGCTAACTTCCACGTTTCCTGCTTAGCCTAGACAAAGAAGGCCTTAGGCAGTCAGACATGCTCTTTGTGTCCAAAATCAGGTGATGGGGATTGTTGTGGGACGATATTGGAGGGCTACCAGCTGTCAGGATGCATCCCCCAAACAGAGGTTTGTGAATAAGACCGAGGGCACATGCACGGCACTCACCTCTCACAGAGGAACGGCCACGGAGGGACCGTATCTTAGAGGGTAGATTGTAATATTCCCTCACCGTGCTCACGGATTGTTACTGAGACCAATGTTTAATGTATGAATTATTCAGCTTATTAAGAGTTAACACAAATTGCGGGGCAGAGGTTCAGTGAAGGTAGTCTAGGTATATCAGAAAGGAAAGTCAAGGGTACTATGGTCTAGTAAGTGTACTCTCCAAGGGAGAGGTGTAGAATCAATGGAGAAAAAGGATAGGAGTTGAGCTTGGCAAAAGTGAGAGAGAGAGAGTGTGTCTCTGTGTGTCTCTGTGTGTCTCTGTGTGTCTGTGTGTGTGTCTGTCTGTGTGCGCACGCGTGTGCGCGCGTGTGGGTGTGTGCGCGCGTGTGTCTGGGTGTGTGCACGCACGTGTCAGTGTGTGTGTGTCTCTGTCTGTGTGTGTGTCTCTGTGTGTGTGTCTGTCGGCACGCGGTCCATGGCAGGGGGGGCTGATGTCCCGGTGGCTGGGGCGACCCCCCAGTAGTAGACAGGCAGGCTGGCAGACAGGTAGGCACAGCAAGCTCCAGTCGTAGTTCTGGTTCTGGCAGGCAGAAGCTCCTCAGGAGCAGGGAGGCTCTTGTGCAAACAC